CTGTGTGAGACAGGATGCTGGACTTGATGGACCCTCACTGGAGTCTTCGGAGGTTCTCCTCAGGGGAAGGCCTTGGCCTCCATGCCTGTTGTTGGCCCTCCAGAGGAACTGGTTGGCCACTGTGTGAGACAGGATGCTGAGCTAGATGGACCCTCACTGGAGTCTTCTGAGGTTCTCATCAGGGGAAGGCCTTGGCCTCCATGCCCTGTTGTTGGCCCTCCAGTGGAACTGGTTGGTCACGTGAGACAGGATGCTGGACTAGATGGACCCCCACTGGAGTCTTCTGAGGTTCTCATCAGGGGAAGCCCTTGGCCTCCATGCCCTGTTGTTGGCCCTCCAGAGGAACTGGTTGGCCACTGTGTGAGACAGGATGCTGGACTAGATGGACCCTCACTGGAGTCTTTTGAGGTTCTTCTCAGGGGAAGGCCTTGGCCTCCATGCCTGTTGTTGGCCCTCCGGAGGAACTGGTTGGCCATTGTGTGAGACAGGATGCTGAGCTCGATGGGCCCTCACTGGAGCCTTCTGAGGTTCTTCTCAGGGGAAGGCCTTGGCCTCCATGCCCTGTTGTTGGCCCTCCAGAGGAACTGGTTGGTCACTGTGTGGGACGGGATGCTGGACTAGATGGACCTTCACTGGTCTGATCCAGCAGGGCTCTTCTGAGGTTCTTATCAGGGGAAGGCCTCAGCCTCCATGCCCTGTTGTTGGCCCTCCAGAGGAACTGGTTGGCCGCTGTGTGAGACAGGATGCTGGACCACTGGTGTGATCCAGCAGGACTCTTCTTATGTTAACTGGAGATTTACAGAGAGTCCACCTACACAAAACATTTCTTCTGAAAGGACCCGGGACGGAGATCTAGCTCACGCTATCATTTTTGACTCAACAGGATCAATGGGGGATTTGCATATGTTCAGCCAGTCTTGAGATCAGTTTGACCTTCATCTCCTTTCATCATCCAGCCAAGGAAAGCACCAGCCGAAAAGCAGGCAGAGAGATGAAGGGACACAGGATCGGGGGAAAAGAGTTCTGAACGGGCACTGAAGGTACACAGCCTCCGGGTGCTTTCCTCTAAATGTGCTGATGCATCCCCCTAAAGCTTGGGTGCGAGTTCTCCACCCCCCAAGCTGTCACTGCTGCCCCCCTCTCTGAGTGACTCTGTCCGCCAGACACATCCGGGGAAGAGACTAGCTGCATCCCTCGGAGCACGACGCACAAAAATTAAAATCGATTACGTTTCGAGAGAGACGTGGCCCCCGGCGAGCCGGCAAGAGCAACTGTAAATAATTGTCTGCCGTTCTCCAACTTTGCATCGGCAACCGGGCTGGTGGCCTCCGGGGGAAACGCCTCCAAAAAAAACGGATGGGAAGCGCTGGGACACCCACTCCCTCTGGCTTTCCTGAGCAATCCCACATGGCCGCAGCGCAACAAGGAAGAGGAGATTGAACCTGGAAAGGGAAGTGCTCGGGCCCTGGAAGCGAAGCAGGCATGCAGCAACTGGCACACCCACCTCTGGATGCCTCCCCACTGCAAGCTGGGGGCACACGTGCACGGAAGCGCCTGGCGTTCCAGGCCAGACGATCAGAGCCCTGTTCGGACCAGACCTACCCAGCCGGTGAGGCGCCCAGCCAAACACAGCTCCCTGCCTACCTCCGTGGGCCTAGGACGAGCTGGCGTCTGCCACGGGGGTCTTGGTGGACTGCCACACATGACGGGGGGGGGCCAGCGTGGGCTTGGTGGCCCTTGGTTTAAAGTGCCATCCGGATGGGAGACGCCAGCGGAGGCGGCCAGAGTTGCATTCTGAGGCCGCTCCAGAACATCTCTGGGACTCCAGAGGTCCCCAGATGTCAGCTAGCTGCCATTTCTGTGTAGTCTCCCCTTATTTATTTATACCTTCAATTTGTACCCCGCTCACCCCCGAAGGGCTCTGAGCAGCTTACACGGTGCATGGTGCAGAGACCTATGCAGAAACCCTAACTATGGCCACAGTACGTTTGGGGTGGGGGGGAACCCTACCGGGTGCTCTCCCGGCTCCGATCGTCCGTTTATCTGGCGAGTGGGCTACTTCTTCCAGTTCTCTCTGGTGCGTCTTCCGCGGCCTCCGCTGTTCTTTCAGCTCTCTGGCGACTCCTCTCGGGGG